TTTCTACTCCCGTAAGGATTTACACCCTCGGAAACCCTGTACAGGGTCGCTATGGGTCGGAACCGACTCGACGGCACTTAACAACAACAAAAGTCTGCAGCATACACCAAGTCATGGGTCACTACGTGTCCCCCTCCTAGCCAGAACAACACACTCCATGTGGTCCTTCAGGCTCCTAGTGACCCCAGGGACACGCCCGTCCTATTTATGCAGAGCCCATAGTTACCAACCCTGTCAAACCTATTATATTAAAATTCGAGGTGGAACGGTTCATAATAACAGGAGCTGCTTTGTGAAATGCATCAAAACATTCATCATTATGATAAAGCTGCTTTAGTGTATGTAGAAGCTTTTCTTCATGTTTTTATGCATAGAAAGGTACACCCTAGACCAGACTATTGTCAAATGCCGTCGAGTGGGTTCCGACTCATAGCGACCCTGCTTAGGGTTTCCGAGGCTGTAAATCCTTCTCCTTCCATGTGGCTGGTGGGTTTGAAGTGCTAACCTTGTGGGTAGCCGTCCAGTGCTTATCCTGATGTGCCACCAGAGTCTACAATCGGAATCTTATGTCCACATAAGCGTCACCTGGGGTCCTGTCACAGCGCCGATTCTGAGTGGGGACCGACAGTGAGATTTAACCCATGGATTTGAAATACATCCAGAGGGCTTCGCTGGGAGCGGAGGGGCAGTGGATGCATCGCAAGCATGGTGGACTTGGCACTGGCTGCAGAATCTAGAATCTGGGGGTTTGTGGCATGGGCTGGGAGATGCCTTTGGGCAGGTGAAAGTGTTTGTGTCTGTGAAGCACATTTGTGGAGCAGGCCCGATGGGGACCTGCTGCTATCTCAGCTGCCCAGCATTGGCTTTCTCTCTCTCTCTGGGTGGGTGGGCCTCAGGGACACCTCCTTTCATCAACCTCTTAGGTCTGACAGATCAGGGTGGACATGTGAGGTCAGCTCAGCATAAACATCTCTAAGCAGCACCCACGCCCTGAGGAGGTGGGGCATGGGAGAGCCCAGACTACTCCTCACCTTCCTGGGGTTCTGAGCATCACCTGGTCTCCTCCTAGAAGACCCTCCTCTGCCTGACTGAACCCTATTGCTGCGGAGGTCTTATCTGTGGCCAGGCACCCACTGATAGGTGTCTACATGGCTTCTAATTTTCCATCCTACAAACAATGCTGAGGTGAGACTCTGCCTCATCCCTGGTGGTGTCAATGGTAAAGGTGCTGAACATGTGCTGTCTGAAAGGCTGGGGCTTTGAGTTTGTCCAGAGACACTCAGAAGAAAGCCCTGGCAATTGTCTTCCAAAACATCCACTGCAAACTTTATGGAGCCCGGTTCTCCTCTGACACGTGTGGGGCCGCCAGGAGTTGGAATCGACTCCATGACAACCAGTTAGGGGTCTGCGATGTTGCAAATGAGTCACGCTCATTTGCAACCAAAAGGTTGCCGGTTCGAGTCCACCCAAAGGTACCTTGGAGGAAAGCCCTGGTGATCTGCTTCTGAAAATGCAGCCACGGAAAACCTTAAGGAGCCCAATTCTACTCTGACACGTGTGGGGGGGGTGCGCCTGAGTTGGAACTGACTTGATGGCAGCCCCTAAGCCCACACATGAGGTCATTTCTGAGTTCTCTACTTGTCTTCTGTCCCTTGTCCTTCAAGTCCTGGTGTGGTGGCCCCACCTAATACAGGTCCTCCCTAGTCTTTAGGGTAGTTATGGGTTTGCTTGTGGATTGCAGCTTTCGCTTCACAGGGCAGGGCTCATGCCCATCTCTCTCTGCACCTGGAGCCCAGCACCCCAATGTTAGAATACATAGCATGGACACACACATGAGGGTTCACAAGGTCACTTTAATGATCTCAGACAAGGGCCAGTGGTGGACAACGTGCTCGACCAGGAGCCAGGTGGGCAGCGGGAGAAGCTGAGTGTTTGTACTGATGTGGAGTGGTGGGCAGCTCAGAACCTTCTGGTGGTTGCTACATACTTGAAATCACTGCAGGCAGGGGAGACACCTGGTGGCCAGTCGTGGAGGTGGCCACTGGGAGGAGAGGCCCTCAGCTGGAAGGGCTGTGCTGGGCCTTTCTAATAGATGTCTGAGGAGTTGGTCAGGTAGAACGGTCGGATGGCGGCCCGGAAGCTACTGGAGAAACCCACAGGGCAGGGGAAGAAGGAGGCGTTGCTGGAGTTGCCCTGAGCGTGGGGGATCGGGGCCTTCTTGTCCTTGAAGTCGGTGACGCCCACCACAATATTGCCACTGCACAGTACAAGGGCTTTGTTCTCATAGCCGATGGCCTGGTTGGGGTAGCTGGAACTGGTCAGTCCCAGGGCTGGGAGCTCGTCAGACGAGCACGAAAAGCCGTAATTCCAGCAGCTCTGGACGGTGGGCAGGTAGAAGAGTGACCAGGACAGGCGTGTGGATTGGAAGAGGAAGCTGGGGTGCTGGGGTGTCCAGAAGGACACAGAGGGGTAATAGCCGTAGGCAGAGGGGGCTTGGGTATAACTTCTGCCGTAATAGTATGTGGATGAGTATGGATCTGCCTTCTGGGATACCTGGCGGGACCCCGAGACGGAGCCGCTCCAGGTGGGTGCCGTGTAGAGCCGCGGTTGGTACGCGTCCTGGGTGAGGTTCAGGCCCCAGTGCCGGACCAGCAGCTGCAAGGGCACCGTGTGGAACTCCAGGGCTTGCTGCACCTTCTCCTGGAAGAATGCCCCGTGCCTGCGGAGCAGGGACAGGTTGAACTGGAGCTCAAAGAGGTCGGACGGCAGGATCATGGGGAACCGGATGTCCTGGAGGAGACCCGCCATCACCGAGCGGGAGGTGCGGGTCTCCTGGCCCCAGAGGTCCACGGCCATCAGCAGGGCCCGCTCACTGGACACAGCCAGGTCGCTCCTGGAGAGCAGCGAGCGGAGCAGGGCAGGGGGCACACTGGGCCAGGCCTCGGACTGTGTCAACGCCTCCAGGTTCCATGCCAGGAACTGCTCACAGAGCGCTGCTAGCAGGGTGTCGCTGGTGGCCTGTGCGTAGGCGTGGAGGTCCAGGGTGGTCCTGAAGGAGGGGTCTTGGGGGAGGAGCACGGCAAAGAGGTGTGCACAGTAGTCCTGCAGCTGCTGGGCCCCGTGGGTGGAGGCGAGTAGGTGGAAGCACTTGACCGAGGACAGGGTCACATCCAGCCTCCGGGAGTACAGGTACCTGGGGGGCAGGAGAGGGACGCTGGCACTGTGCAGCCCCGGCTCGGAGGTCTCCAGAGGCCTGTGGGGCCCAGGCTCAAGGCGGCCTGGCTTCAGCCTTGGGGAAATATGTGTGTACATGTATGTACGTACTGCTGGTGTGTGTGTTGTGTGTCTATGTGTAGGTGAGTGTGTGAGTTGTGCATCTGTGTGTAGGTGTGTGTGTTGTGTTTTTTGTGTGTAGGTGTTCATGTGTGTTGTGTTTCTGTGTATAGTTGTGTGCGTTGTGTGTCTGTGTGTAGGTGTGTGTGTGTTGTGTGTCTGTGTATAGGTGTGTGTGTGTGTAGGTGTGTGTGTGTGTAGGTGTGTGTGTGTGTGTGTGTTGTGTGTCTGTGTATAGATGTGTGTATGTGTGAGTGTGAAGTGGTGTGTGCTCATACATGTGTATGTATGATACATGTACTGACCAGCGAAGAACACTTGTTATGCGTTGAAGGACATGTTTCGTATTAACTCCCTGTCCCTGTGAACGTGGCCCTGTGTGGAAATGGGGTCTCTGCATCTGTCAGCAGTAAACCTGTGGTCACACTATGACTGGTGCCCTTTAAAGAAGAGGACAGACAGACACAGGGATGGGGAGACCCGAGAGGAAGACTACCATGTGACAACGGAGACAGACTGCAGTGACCGCAACACGAAAGCCTGGACCTCAGCACTCAGAGGCACCTCAATTCCTCTTGTGAAAAGCGCTTCCTGTGACTTCCTGCAGTCAGTCTGTGGCCACACGCTTTCTCTCTTCCTCGTAAACAAGATCCGATGAGAAGAGACTAAACTTGAGTATTGGTTTCAGGTACTTAGAAGACTTGCTCACCCATCTGTCTTTCTGTCGTACTGTGGTGGTTTACATGTTGGAAGTGTATCTGTATCACCAATACTACAAATCCCAGCAGGGGCACCCTGAGTGGACAGGTTTCAACAGAACTTCCAAACTATGGCAGACTAGGGAAAAGGAGAAGCGGCTACTTCTGAAACCTTATGTCTAACAGTGGACCATTACCAGATACAGTGCTGGAAGATGAGCTGCTTGGATCGGGAAAACTCAAAATACAACTGGGAAAAAGCTGCCTCCTTAAAAAAGACAGAAAGAGATCTCCATAGGATCAGCACTGGACTACGAACCACAAAGTCTACAGTTTGAGCCCATCCGCTGCCCTCTGGGAGAAAGGTGAGGCTTTCTGTTCCCATGAAAACTTAAAGCCTTGGAAACCCTGTGATGGGGGTGGTTATGTGCTCTACAGTGAGTTCTGACCCATAGCGACCCTGTACAGGGTTTCCGAGGCTGTAAATCTTACAGGAGCAGAAAGTCTCACCTTTCCCCCACAGAACTGCTGGTAGTTTCAAACTGCTGACCGTGAGATTAGCAGCCCGATTCGTAACCACTACGCTATGTGAACGGCTTCAGAAACCAGGGTTGCTATGAGTCGGAACGGACTCGACGGCACTTAGCAACAACAACAAATGATTATGATTGGAGCAAAGGGTTTGAAGCCTTCATTTATTGGTGCTGAGGCAAAGCTCAGATGAGGAGAAAGAGCTGCAAACATCCAATAGTCAGAAGGTGGAATGTATGAAGTCTGAGTTTAGTAACAGTGGAAGTCATAAAAAATGAAATGGAATGTATAAAGGTCGGTATTCCAGGGATTAGTGAACTGAAATGGACTGGAATTAGCCATTTCAGATCGGACAACTATATGGTTTACTATGCTGGGAACTACAAACTGAAGAGGAATGTAGTGTTCATTCATTATCAGAAAGAACATTTCAAGATCTGTCTTGAAGTCCAATGCTGTCTGTGATCCTATCCATACACCTACAAGGAGGATCAGTTAATATGACTATGATTTAACTTTCTGTACCAAGCACTAAAGCCAGTGATCATAAAATTGAAGAATTCTACCAGCTTCTTCAGCCTGAAATTGATCAAGCATTGTACTCAAGATGCATTGATAATTACTGGTGATTGAAATACAAAGGCTGGAAACAAAGAGGAAGGATCAGTCATAGGAAAATATGGCCTTGGTGATAGAAATGATGCTTGAGAATGCATGATAGAATTTTGTAAGACCAATGACTTCTTCATTGTAAACACCTTTTTTTTTTTAGCAACATCAATGGCAACTATATAATTAGACCTCACCATATGGATGGAATACACAGAAATCAAATTGACTATATCTGTGGGGAGAGACGATGGAGAAGCTCCATTTCATCAGCCAAAACAAGGCCAGAGGCTGACTGTGGAACAGACCACCAATTGCTCTTATACAAATTCAGGTTGAAGCTGAAGAAAATGAAAACAAGTCCATGTGAGCCATACTCTGATCTTGAACCTATCCCACCTGAATTTAGAGACCATCTCAAGAACAGATTTGATGCATCAGACACTAAAGACCGAAGACCAGAAGAGTTGTGGGATGACATCAAGAACATCCTACAGGAAGAAAGCAAAAGGTCATTGAGAAGACAAGAAAGAAGGAAAAATATCAAAACGGATGTCAGAAGAGACTCTGACATTTGCTGTCCAGCGTAGAGATGCTAAAACAAATGGAGGAAATAAAAAGGTAAAAGTGCTAAATAGAAAGTGTCCAAGGTCAGCTTGAGAAGGTCAAGTCAAATATTATAATGAAATGTGCAAGACCTGGAGTTAGAAAACCAAAAGGGAAGAACACACTCAGAATTTCTCAAGCTGAGGGAACTGAAGAAAAAAGTCAACCCTCAACTTGCAATACTGAGGGATTCTATGGACAAATTATTGAGTGATACAGAAAGCATCAAGAGAAGATGGAAGGAATACATAGTCACTGTACCAAAAAGAAATGATCGATGTTCAACCATTTCAAGAGGTAGCATATGATCAAGAGCCAATGATACTGAAGGAAGAAGTCCAAGGTTCATTGAAGGCATTGGCAATGAACAAGGCACCAGGAACTGATGGAATAGAAGCTGAAATCTTTCAACAAACTGATACAGCACTGGAGGCACTCGCTCATCTATGTCAAGAAATTTGGACCTGTATTTGTGCCTATGCCAAGAGGGTGACCCAATGTAATTTGTAAATCATTGAACAATATTATTAATACTGCATGCAAGTAAAATTTTGCTAAAGAGAATTCAAAAATGGCTGCAAATACACATTGACAGAGATCTTCCAGAGGTTCAAGCTGGATTCAGAAGAAGGTGTGGAATGAGGGGTATCATTGCTGATGTCAGATGGATTTTGGCTGAAAGCAGAGAATGCCAGAAAGATGTTTACCTGTGTTTTGTTGACTATGAAAAGCCTTTTGACTGTGTGGATCATGACAAGCTATGGACAGCATTGTGAAGTATGAGTATTCCAGAACACTTAATTGTGCTCATGAGGAACCTGTACATAGACCAAGAAGTAGTTGTTCGAACAGAACAAGGGAACAATGAATGGTTTAAAATTAGGAAAGGTGTGTGCCAGGGTTGTATACTTTCACCATGATTATTCTATCTGTATGCTGAGCACATAATCCAAGCAGTTTTATTATGCGAAGAAGAACGTGGCATCAGGATTGGAGGAAGACTCATACAACCTTGCTCGCTACAAGTGAAGAGGACTTATAATACTTACTGATGAAGATCAAAGAACACAGCCTTTGGTGTGGGTCACACCTCAATGTAAAGAAAACAAAAATCCTCACTACTGGACCAATAAACAACATCCATATCAGTGGAGAACAGATTGAAGTTGCCAAAGACTTCATTCTTCTTGGATCAACTATCAACGCTCATGGAAGCAGCACTTAAGAAATCAAACGGTTTATATTGCATTAGGCAAATCTGCTGCACAAGACCTCTTTAAAGTGTTGAGAGCAAAGATGTCAGTTTGAGGACTAAGGCGTGCCTGATCCAAGTCATGGTATTTTTAATAACGTCATGCGCCTGTGAAAGTTGGACAGTGAATCAGGAAAACTATAGCAGAATTGATGCATTTGAGTTACGGTGTTGGGAGGGGAATATTAAAATTACCATTGATCACCAAAAGAATAATCCAATCTGTGTTGGAAAAAGTACAACCAGAATGCTTCTTAGAAGCCAGGATGGCCAACCTTCGTCTCTCATACTTTGTACATATTATCAGGAGGGACCCATCCCTGGAAAAGGACACCATGCTTGGTAAAGTTGAGGTTGGAGAGAAAGAGGAAGACCCCCAATGAGACAGATTGACACCATGTCAGCAACAATGGGCTCAAGTGTACAAACAATTGTGAGGCTGTTTGTGGACAGTGTTGTGTTGTGCATTGAGTTGCTGTGAGTTGGAACTTACTGACAACACCTAACCACCACAACAACTCAAGGTGCATCTTCGTGACACCTAAGAGGGAGAAGAGAGGGTCTTGTGGGGTTTTCTCATTTGCTTTTTTTGCCCTCGAATTGATTCCCACTCACAGTGACCCTACAAGACAAAGCAGAGCTGCCTCATGGGGTCTATGGAAACTGACTGCCAGTTCCTTCTGCCACGGAGTTGTCACTGGGTGGGTTCGAATTGTGGATCTCTCGGTTATCAGTGCAGTGCTTAAGGGTTGTGCCACCAGGGATCCTTTTGTTTGTTTTGGTCTCACCAAAACTTCTTACAGTCCAGACAGTGTCTAGCTTGTGCCTTCTCAGAGCCCAGGTGAGTGGCTGGACTTGACTCCTCGGCTCTGTTACTGCCAGCTGTGTGTCACAGGGCGGTGGAAGGCCACAGTGGACGATATGGTGACCGCTGATGTTCCTTCTCAGAGCGCCACCTCACCCCTCCCTCCCAGCACTGTCAGACCCCTCCATAACCCACCAGCCAGTTTACAGAGCCCACTTCTTGGTGCTCAGGGTACACCCACCACCAAGAGCTTTCTGAAACTTCTTTTCTGAAACTTCCTTTAACCTATAATGGGGAGTGCTTAGACAGGGAGGCTTTTATGTTGTGTTTTAAAAATTAGTTTACTTCTGTGTGTGCATGTGTGTGCATATGAGGTGTGATGTGTGGTGGTTTGTGGGTATGTACACATGTACTGTCTGAGGTGTATGTGTGAGTGTAACTTGTATACATGTGCTTATATGTGTGATGTGCAAACATGGCATGTGTGTAGAGTGTGTGATGTATACGTGGTGTGTGGTGTATGTGAGTGTGATGTGTGTATAGATACTTAGTATTTGTTTACGTAGTGTGCTGTATGTGTGTGTGTGGTGTCATGTAAAGTGAGTATCTGAATGTGGGGAGTATGATCAGGTATCTTATGATGTGTATCTGTGTGTAGTATGTGTACACATGTGTGCTGTGTGTGTGTAGTGCATGTCTGTATGACACACCTATGTAGTATGTGTCACATGTGTGTGCCTGTGCACACAGCATGTGTACACACATCTGTGGTGTATCTATGGTGTGTACCTAAGTGTGTGGTGTGTGTATACGTATGTGTGACTGTGCGGAGCATGTGTATCTGTCTGTATGACTATATGGTGTCACTATGTGGAGCGTGTGTGTCTGTATGGAGCGTGTGTGTTTGTATGTGTGACTGTGTGGTGTGACTATGTGTGTGTGACATGTGCCCACACATGTCTATGGTATGTGTGCACATAGAGGTGTTGCTGCGCCCGGCGCCCTCCCTGAGGTTGGACTTCTCAGGCCAAGTCCCCAAGTGCCCAGCTCCTGAGAGCAGCTTACCTGATGAATTCTGAGACCACAGGCAGGCATTCGGTGTCCACCGCAATGGTGACACTGCTGCCTGTCCCCCTGAGCAGGACCTGGGCCTCGGGGTTGCTGGAGAGGATGAGGGTGTGGGCGCAGACCTGCAGGACCTCCTTCCCGCCAGCGTGCACCTGGATGGCCAGGTCACAGCTCTGCTGACTGTCGAAGATTCCTCCCAGCACCTCCCCCAGCTCACTGGAGAGGTCAAGGGTGTAGACGACTGGGTCACTTCCAGTTTCTAGGGGGGAGGAGGGACCGACTCTTTCAGACACTTGTTCTGAGACCTCACGTGTGTCAGAGTAGAAATGGGCTCCCCGGGGTTTTAAGTGGCAGAGTTTCGGGAAGTAGATTGCCAGACCTTTCTTTTACAGTGCCTCTGGGTGGACTTTAGGTTAGCAATGGAGTGCAAACCATTCCTACCACCCAGGGACCCTCAACTGCAACCAGGGATATGGGGAGACCTCATTCTGGGTACCCAGGGCTCTGGCCCCTGCTGCAGCAAAATCCCAGGGCCGGACTCAGGGAGGGGCAGCTCACCATTGGTGCAGACCACACTGGCGTCCTTCTCATGTCCACAGCGGCTCTGGAGCCAGCCCAAGGACCTGCACTGGGCCAGTGACAGCTCGGTCCCTGTGCACTGCACCTTGTCCAGCATGACAGGGCCTCTTCCTGTGGGCACAGGGAGGAAGAGAGGGCTGCAGGGTCACCTTGAGGCCCCCAGGCAGGGATGGGAGGCCCCCAGGCAGGGATGGGAGGCCCCGTAGACTGGAGAGGGTCCTGTTTGTCACACAGTCCTACCAAGTCCTATCAAGCTACGCAAACAGCTTTGTGTGCCTGAGTTACAGGTGTCTTTAAAGAAGACAGACTTCATTGGTAAAATAGATACAACACAAAAGTGGGCCCATTTCTAAGTGCACGTTTCAGCGGCATTAATTACATTCACCAAGCTGTGCGGTATTCAGGACTTTCTGTCTCCAAACTTCTTCACTACTGCTCTTCAGCAAGATCTCCCTGTTCCTCCCACCTCCAGCTCCAGGGGACTGCCACTAACTTCCTGTCTCAGGGCTTGGTTTATTTCACTCAGCATGCATTCAACATTCATCCATGTCATCGTATGTATCAGAATCTCATTCCCTTCATAATTGAAAAATATCCCATTGTGTGGATTGTTGTTGTGAAGCACTGTAGAGTCGGTTCTGACTCACAGCGACCCTGTATAGGGTTTGCAAGGAGCAGCTGGTGGGTTTGAACTGCCAACTTTCTGGTTCAAAGTCCAGTGCTGATCCTAAAGCGCCACACCAGGAGTCCAATTGTGTGGACAGACTGCATTGCTTTTATTCATTCATCTGTTGGTGGACATTTGGTTGTTTCTACCTTCTGGTTCTTGTGAACACTGTTGTAATGAAGATTCAAGTACAAGTACAAGTATATATATATATATTATATGTCTTTTGGATATGCTAGTTTGAGTTCTGATTATTATGGAAACAGACTGGGAACTTATCTTTCCTTATAATTTCTAAGCTTTGTTGTTGTTATTAGGTGTCATTGGGTTGGTTCCAACTCATAGTGACCCCACAGGGGACAGAATGAAATACCGCCCAGTCCTGTACCAACCTCAGGATGCTCCGTTACTAAGAGGAAATGTGCAGGTCAGATTCCTGCCAGGGGACTTGCTCAGGCTTTACCTTGCCCGAAGGCGGCACCGCCCAGAGCCTGGGTAGCGTTCTGGAAGCCCAGGGCGCGGCAGACCACGCCGGCATCGATTAAGTCCCAGTTGTTGTCACATACGGTCCCCCACTGGCCTCTGTAGAAGATCTCTACTCGGCCCTGGTTGTCCTCACCTCCGTCCACCAGCCTCATGTCACCATTGTCAAGACCTGTGGCTCCAGGAAGCAGAGGGAACAAAGTTCAGCAGGGGTGATGGGGTGTGCCCTGACACACCCTCAGGCCCCAGGTCAGAGGGGAGCACAGGTCAATAGAATGACAGGGTGTGGTGGACCATGTGCTTTCTTGGTGGTCGCAAAGCTCTGTCCAACTAGGGCTGATCCACTGGCCAGTGGCCAGGGTGCCTGTGGCTTGGGAAGGATGTTGTGGGGGTATGGGGAGATTGTGGGGAGCCCAGGTTCCGCAGAACACACAGGTGGGGACAAGGGGGGCATGGAGCAGGAGAGGAGAGCACTCTCTAGGGTTTGGGATTTGATGGCTTCTCTCACCGTGGGTGCCTGCGAGGAGCAGACACATCCCGAGGAGCTGGGGAAGGGCCATGGCCATGCCTGGAGCCTCGATCCTGTGACAGAGGGGGCATCGGGGCAGAGACCCTCAGACTGGGGCACACATCCTGCAGACCCAGCCCATGGGACCCATGGGACAAGCCCCTCAGGCTGAGTAAAGGGTGCACTGGGGTTCCTGGCATCAAGAACCTCTGAATGCTGGGCCTGAGCGCAGCTTCCCTGTGGGAGCGGGTGGAGGGCCCAGATGGGGAAGGGTCCTGAAGATGACAGAGGCCCCGCATGGACGGAGGAGTGGCAGCGGAGTGAAGAGGGACCCAGGCACTGAGAGAAGAGGTGGGAGGGGCTGGGGGGAAATGTCAGGAAGGCTTAGCGTGGACACAGACTGCTGTCCCTACTCCCAGTCAGCTGACCTAGTGTCCCTGGAGACCTAGGCTTGGGGAGGCGGGGCCATCAGGCCACAGGGCCATTGGGGGCAGGGCTGGGAGGACCCCAGCTTTTTGCCTCCATCTTCTTCTCCGTTCTGGTTTCTTTCGCATCGTCCTGACTGCGTCCTCATCTGCCCTCTCCACATCCTGTCTGTGCTGTTCCTGTGACCCAGCGGACAATCATGAATGTGCACCTAGCAGGGGTCCCTGCAGCCCAGGTCACTGAGCACAAGACAAGGGCAGTCCCCGGCCCTGTGGTGCCAAGACCCCCAGGGAGCATGGGGTCCTGCCCAAGGCTGAAGCACCTCTGAGCCAACTGCCATCCTGCTGACTCAGGGGGGCTACTGGGCTTCATCTCAACCTGCCAAACAACCAGATGGCTGGTCACCCTGCCCACACCCAGGACACCCTCAGCTGCCAGGTGTGGACACCTGGATGGCCAGTCAAGCTCAGGTGCATGGGGGTGGGAGGTGGGGAGAAGGGGACATGGTAGCAGTCTGCCCCGACCCAGGTGGAACCTTTGTCCAGGTTAGACTGAGGTACCTTTCCTGGAGTGAATTCAGATTTCCAGGTAGCCCATAGTGGGCATCTGTGCCCCATCCCGGCCCAGCCACCACCTTGGCCAGTGTTTTGTGCAATAAACAGCCTGCCTGCCCAACTGTATGTAGTGGCTCCCTACCCCAGGTCTGGGCACACAGGGCACTTGCCCCCTCTGCCCCCCCCCCCCCCAGAGAAGGGCCTCTACCTGTGAGGAAGGAGAGATAACCTGTTTGTTCTGTCTGAACAGACTCCCATCCTGAATTTACATTTCTACCCTTGATATGCATATTGATCCCAAGATGAATCGCAGGCATACATAAAGGTCCATTCTTGTTAAAATGGAGACTCAGAGTCAATGTGTCTGGGGTGGGACTGAAGCGGTTTGAAGCCCTGGAAAGGCAGGACCTTACCTGCCCAGGTAATTCCCAGATCTGACCTGCAGCCTGTGGCTTCTGTTGCGAGAGCCTGTCCCAAGTCTGAACTTGGTCCTGGTCTGGAGCGGGTCCAGGCTGTTCAGGAAATGCTCCAAAGGACAGTCTAGTTTCGATTTCTGGGAACCATGTGACCTGTCTGTGGGGCTCCGGGAGTTGGCTAAGCACAGCCCCTGAGGCCTCCATGCTAGGGAAAGGCAATGACGCAGGGCTGTTTTCAGACCGTCTCACGGCTTCAAACCTGTTCCATCTGGTTCTACCCTCTGCAGTGAATTTGCTGTTCCATCCCAGAAGCACTGATGCGAACCTCCGTCCAAACAAGATCTCATGTATAACACACACTGAGAACCACGGCTCTCCTGGTAACTCACTGAATTTGGCTTCACCCAGTAGCAGCAGCGTTGCCTGGAAATGAGCTTTGTTGTTGTTGTGAAGTGTTGTTGAGTAGGCTCCATCTCATAGCGACCCCGTATAGGGTTACCGAGGAGTGGCTGTTGAGTTTGAACCACTGATTTTGCAGTCAGAAGTCCAGTGCTTATCCTACACAGCACTGGCTAGAATGGATTCGAACCTCAGGGCTGACTCCATGACCTACAGCTCAGCACACAGTCAGAGCAGACCGGAGCGTCCAGGCTGAACCCCGTGTGTCTGGGCAGTGGCACAAACGCTCGTGACAGATTGGCAGTTCGATCCACTTGATGGTGACTGGCAGACCTTCCCTGGGGTTGTAGTTCTCTCTGGTTTCTTCAGAAAGGACCCAGGCTAGGAGCCAGGCAGGTCTCATCATCATAGTAATGGCTTCGGGAAAGGACAATGATGCAGCAAGAGGCAGCTCCAGACTGAAGAAGCCAGTTAATGCATGGGCTGTGGGTCCTGAACTGGGGGACTCCTGTCTTGTCCCATCCCTGCTCCCTAAGAGGAAGATCCAGATTGAAGAAGCCAGTGACTGCAGGGGGTATGGGTCCTGAGTTGGGGACTCCAATCTTGTCCCATCCCGGTCTCCCAACAGGCAGCTTCAGTTAATAATGAATGAAGGTGGGAGGCAGGCCTGAGAGAAAGCTCATCTAGACACCATGGTCTGAGGCCCTGGGCTTCACAGTCCCCGGAGACCACCTCTCTGCTGCTGTCACCTGAGGGCTCTTGGCCAGGTCCATCCCCTTGGGGCATCTGCAGTTCTCAGCCTGGCTGCACCCCTGCCCAGCCACATCCGAATCTCTGGTGATGAGCATGGGCCGGGCTGGCTTTGAAAGCTCCCAGGGGGCTCCACCTCAGTCCAGGCTGAGAACCACTAGCTTAGAGTCTAAGCGAGCCTGGACCAGCCAAACATGCCGTGTGTAGTTCCCCTGAGACTTAAAGTTCCAGCAGTCTCTTCCGTTAACCTAATCCTCTCGGATGAATTGGTGAAATCCTCAAAATGATGGACCCAGGAGATGGTGGTGGTGAGTTTCAAAATTCCATCCAAATGAAGACCCCCAGATGGACCAGGGGTACCACCTGATCCAAAGCTCCCCTTCCATCGAAGAGCTGCCCCTAGGGGTCCCCAGGTTGGAAATCTTTACAGAAGCAGAGGGTCTCATCTTTCTCCTATGGAGCGGTTGATGGTTTTGACCCAGCGCAGTGCTTGCTAATGGGCACAGGAACTCCAAAATCATTACTTCTCATGGTTTCAAATGATTTTGACCCAAAAGCAGTGGCCAGTGAAGGACAGAGGACAGACCAAGACGTAGAGGAAATCCTTTGGAAGGAGACAGTGGGAATGGTTAAAAGATGAAATGCTTAATCTTTGTTGTTGTTGTTGATAACTACCATTAAGTTGGTTCCAACTCATAGAGACCCTGTATAAGGTTTCCAAGGAATGGCTGGTGAGTTTGAACCACTGACCATATGGTTAGCAGTCCAGTGCTTATACTGCAGACTCATACTCCTAACCAACCAACCAACCAACCAACCAACCAAATAAACCCACTGTGATTGCCTTTACTCCGGTTCATAGCAACCTGTTCTATAGGACAGAGGAGAACTGCCCATGAGGCTTATGGGAGCAGATAGCTTCAGCTCTTTCCCTTGGAGCTGCTAGTGGGTTTGAACCACTGACCTTGTGCCTAATCCTTAAAGTCCTGGTGGACTTAAAAGTCCTGGGGCTACACCACAGAACGGGCAGCAGTATCTGCATTCCCGGGCTTTCCAGTTCCCCCAAAGAGAAGAGTTTCACAGGAGAGGGGAGGGCTGGCTGAGTCTGATGTGGTGCCAGAAAGCGTGGTACTGGAGAAGATCACCTGAGACCTTCTCTCTCGCTCTCCTTTTTTATCTTCCCTGCCTCTACTCCATCATCAAATCCAGGAACGCTAACAATAACATCAGCTCCACAAACAAACCCACTGCTGTTGACTGGATTCCGACTCCCGGCCACCCTGTAGGACAGAACAGAGGTCTCCATAGGGTGGCCGAGACTATGATTTTTTACGGGAGCAGATGGCCTCATGTTTCTCCTTCAGAGTGGCTGGTGGGTTTGAACCGCTGACCTTGAAGCTAGCAGCCCAACACTTAACGCACTGTGCCACTAGAACTCCTTGATGACCATATTAGCTAATATTTAACCAGTTGCCAAAGAATCGACTCTGACTCACGGCACCCCCATATGTGTCAGAGTAGAAGTGTGCTCCGAATCATCAGGTCTTTTGTCCAAGGTGGTTTGGGGGTACTCGCATCTCTAACCTTTCATTTATCAGCTGAGTGTGCTCACCACAGGCACCACTCAGGAGCACTGATTTCACTCAGTATTGATTTTGTCAGGCGCTACGGCAAACTTTCGATGTGACTGAATTCCATACGCCCGGTCACTGTGAAAAGCGGCTGATCTTATTATCCCTTACAATAGACACAGAGAGGTTATGTAACCTACCCAAAGCTGCACAGCTGGAAGGGCAAGTGCTTGCAATCAAACCGACACTTGAAAAAAAATTGAGATATACGTTACGTTTTGAACAATGAGGGGACTAGGGGTACCAATCCCCTGCAGTTGAAAATTTGTGGATAACTTGACTTCCAAAGAAACCTAACTAATTGTTAATTGCTATTGAATCGATTAGACTCATAGCGACTCTGTACAGGGTCTCTGAGGAGCGGCTCGTGGGTTTGAACTGCCGACCTGGTGGTTTGCAGTGCAATGCTGCTCCTTGCTGGACATGTTATCAGGAGGGACCAGTCCCTGGAGAAGGATTTCCTGCTTGGTAAAGTGGAGGGTCAGTGAAAAAGAGGAAGACCCCCAACAAGATGGGTTGACCCAGTGGCAGCAGCGATGGGTTCAAATGCAACAATTGTGGAGGATGGTACAGGAGCGGGCATTTTGGTTCTGTTGTGTACAGGGTTGCTATGAGTCGGAACGGAACTGACTCCACGACACATAACCACCACCAATAACAACAATGGAATCCTGGTGTGGCGCTATAAGAGAAGCATTGGACTGCAAGGTCAGCAGTTCAAACCCACCAGCTGCTCCTAGGAAACCCTATACAGGGTCACTATGAGTCAGAACAGACTCGATGGCACATAACAACAATGCATTAAATAAGAAGACCCCGTGGTGGTGTGGGGTAGGTGTTGGATTGCTAACTACAAAGTCGGCAGTTGAAACACAC